AAGAGAGAGAAAGAGAGAGTAAGAGAAAATGAGGAAGAGAAAGAAAGAACAAGAAAGAGAGAGAGAGAGATAAAGAGGGGGGGCGACAAAAGCTGCATTGTTGAAAAAGAATTAAATCAAACTTTACCATGCCTTTCCCACACGAAGAAGGCGTTTCTACTGATTGCCTTATCATTACTTTTATCATTATTATCATTACTATATTGCTATTACTATTATCGTTATTATTATCATCATTATCATCGTTATTGGAATCATTATCAATATTATTACTGTTATTTCATTTTTAGTATTCTTGTTGATATCACCATTACCATTGATATCACTATCATTACTATTATTGTTATTATTCTTGTTATTATTCTTATCATTGTTGTCAGTTTTATCATTCCGTTTATTATTACTTATTCTTCTTTTTCTTCTTCTTTTTATAATTATTGTTATTATCATTCTTCCTATTATCATTATTATAATCTTTATCAATTTTGTTTTCCTTTTAGTTTCCTAAACCCTTCCCTCCTCTTCCTTCACTCACTCTCTCTCTCTCTCTCTCTCATTCTCTCTCTTTTTCTCAATCTCTCCACATTTTCTCTCTCTACATTTTTCCTTTACCTCCTTCCCTCTCTCTCTCTCTCTCTCTCTCTCTCTCTCTAATTCTCTCTCTTTTTCTCACTCTCTCTCCACATTTTCTCTTTCAACATTTTTCCTTTACCTCCTTCCCTACCCCCCCCTCTCTCTCTCTTCCTATCTCTCAATCTATCCCTCTACTTCACCTTCTCTCTCTCTCCCTTCATATTTCCCTGTACTCCCCCCTCTCCCTCCCCCCTTCTCTCCCTCCCTCTCTACCTACCACTCCCTCTACCCACCTCCTCCTCTCCCCATCTCTCCCTCTTTCATTTCGCCTTCCAAGCAGCCCCTTTATTGCAGTGTCGTTATTGCAGTGTCGACCATGAGCTCCGTGGCTGTCGTGTGCATGTTGCTCGGGTCTCTCAACAGCTGCACGAACCCCTGGATTTACCTTTACTTCAGCGGCACATTACTCAATCAGCTGAGGGTGAGTTCAGCGGGAGGCCATTCCCAACGATGTTTTTGTTGTTATTTGTTATTGCAATTTCTGGAGAGAAAAATATGTTGATTGTTGGTGGTTTGGGATGCTGTGTTGTTGTGAGTTTCTGTTGGTGTGTTTGTTTGTGCGCGCGCGCGCGCGCGCGCGCGCGTGTGTGTGTGTGTGTGTGTGTGTGTGTGTTTGTGTGCGTGTGTATTTTTATATGTGTGTGTGATAATGATGAGGATGATGATGTTAATAAGGATAATTATGACATTGATGATGATTATAATAATAATAATAACTACTACTACTAAAATAATAATGAGATTATTAACTATCACAATAAACGTGATAATAATGCCAAAGATAACGACAACAAAAATAGAAATGATAATAATAATAACACGCACAATAATAATGACAAGGATTTCAGTTGCCATAACCATGCACCAATGTCTTCCTCTCTCTCGCCTTCTCATCCTCCTCCTTCTTCCTTCTTCCTTCTTCCTCAGGTGGTCCTAGGATTCGGTCCGAGCCGCTCCAACGACAACGCATCCCTAGGAGACGAGGACCCGAGGGAGGAGGGCCTGGCAGTCAACAAGAGACCGATAACGCATTCTAGTGTCCCATAGGATCACATCTTACGAGAGACCGACGCGACGGATGTGGTACCGTTTCGATAGTTTTTTTTTTTTTTTTTTTTTTTTTGTGGGTGGATGGGTGGTGTGGGCGACGGGGTTTGGGGGTTGCATATGGCAGTGTGCTTTTATCTATTTATTAATTTTTTACATGCATAAAATTCATGAAGGTGAATAAGGCAATATGCATACATAGCTTTGGCAGACGGATACGAACACGCGGTCGTATATATATATATATATATATATATATATATATATATATATATATATATATATATATATATATATATATATATTACAAATACACAATATATACACACACGTTCGCGCAAACACCGGTTATGCGTGCGATTAAGTATTATACATTCTAACTATAGTGTTTTTATACAATATGGTTAGTATACGAACATCCTTTTCTCAGTGAGAAAACCAGTGAAATTCTTATAAACAACTGTAGAAATATTATTTTGTTTAGATGAAGAAATTCGGTTGCCAAGGCTCCGTTATGAAGTCCGTTGTCTGTATTTCTTCAAGAAATCTTATTATAATGAAAGCACATTGTCTTCGGATTCTCTCGAAATCCCAACTGTGGAAGAAATAACATTACTGCTGCATTTCTGGCAGGTTTTGATGAACAGATAATTTGAAAAATAAACTGAAATCAAGAAATTCTGGTAAACACAGTGATTTTAACTATCAGCGGAAGAAAACGGAGAAGGGGAATAATAGTAAAGAAAACGTGTTTAACAATGGTATATACTATATATGAATAACTAAAATAAAGTGGTAACAAAATGTATGTGGCTGATTAATATAGCTGGGTGCCAGGAACACCCCTTGGCGTAGTACAAAGAGACCAATGAGATAGACTAGACCATAGTTAAATAAGTATTGAGGAGACCAGCTGTGCATTATCGACACAACTGAAATTTTGTAAAGACTTCACAACTTAAAACATCAGAAAGAACAACAGCATTGATGATTGTGTTGTTGTTGATGGTGACAATACTAATAAGAAAATAATAATGATCATAAAAAGGATAATATTGGTAAGAATAATGATAAAAACAGTGAAAATCTGAGGAATAAAGTTAATTTGCAAGGCTAAAACAAAATATTTATTCTCTTCCTCCTCTCTTCTTTTCTTTCCTTTACTTTTTTTTCTAGATTTAGTCAGATCGTTATGCTGGTAAAAAAAGAAGAAATTACCAATAACTAATGTACATAGTGTAAATATATTGTGTTTCCGTCCATGGATGTCTCATAAAAGTTTTTCGATCAAAGATTTCTGTATTTACACTCAACCAAAAATAAAAGTGAACTTGAGTACTGATATTATAAACTCCGGGGATCTGTTGTGTTTGCATGACTCTGGTGTCCTATGTAAATGATTTCAATGTTCTTGCATGTGAAACTGTATACTTAAAATTAGTCACGATTTCGCAGTCTTTCCCGTAGTCTGACATATAACATGGGGGAAAATAGTCAGACTTACGGGAAACTCAAACACCCGATGTTCAATACCATGTTTCATTTCTGTTTAATGTGACTTGTAGTTAGTGATTCCGTCTAGATCTTTTTCTTCCCATTTTTTAAAGATTATGAAATAAGTAGTCTTTATTTTAACGTATTCGAATGTACCTTTATGTCACACATGTACAGTCTCTGTGGCAGAACTAGTGTAGAAATAATTTTAAAAAGTGTTTCTACCTTTTTCTACTCTGTGTTTAAGGTTAAGGTTCGTCTCTGTAAGAAAAATTAATACATGGAAAGATTGTTAGCTTTTAAGAAATGCAAGGAGCAATATAAGATGTTATTTTATACTAACCTACTATTCTGACAATATGGGAAACGTGTGTAATTAAAAAAAAAGAATACAGTATGTTGAAAGAACATTTCTTTATGCTCGGTGTTTGTTGTGAAATGTTTACGTCGTGCTGACTGTCCTTCCGAGAAATATATGATGTGAGGAAAAACTGTTTCTGATTCTCCTTTGCCATCGCTGAAGGTTGTGATTATTCTTTGTCTTCTTTCTTTCCCTTTCCTCCTCATTCCCTCCCCTGTCTCTCTTCCTTTCTCACTTTCTCACCCCCTCTGTTTTTCAGGCTGTCGCTGATTCTGTCCGTCTTATTGTCTGTATTCATACATGCTTATATATACATATATATATATGTATATATATATATATATATATATATATATATATATATATATATATATATATATATATATATATATGTATGTATGTACACACACACACACACACACACACACACACACACACACACACACACACACACACACATATATATATATACATATATACACGCATACTCATACATATACATATATACGCTCACACACACATGTACATATGTATATATATACATATATATATGTATATATATATATTCATATATGTATATATGTATATATATATATACATACACCCACACACACACACACACATATATATACATCTATTAGCTATAATATTTTGTTGTTGAAAAAATAGTCATGCTGATGGAAGCTTTACATATCTATATAGATAGATCCATAGATAGATAATAAAATCTACGAAGAAAAAAAAGTAATAAGAAATAACACCAAGCAGAAAGAAAAAGAACAAGAAATAAGAAGAAAGAGAAGAAACAGAACAAATAGAAGAAAAAGAAGAAAAAGAAGAAGTAGAAGGAAAAGAAGAAGAAATGAAAATAAAAGAATAATAATTAACATCGAACAGGAAGAAAGCTAGGACGAATAAAAAAAAAAAAAAACATGGAGAAAAACAAGAAAAAAAGGAAATAAAAACAAAAAGTAAAGACAAACCACACTCCCCAAAAACCAAAACAAAAACAAAACCAGAAGAAGAATTAAAAAAAAAAGGTAAAAGTAAAATTAATCACTCAACTATAAATTAAAGAAATGAAGCTTTAATATCCGTCCAACTTTTTTTATATTATTTTTTTTTTTTGAGAGTGAACAAAGACACGATGTATTGTATAATAATCACATTTGTCAGCTATCAATCATCCTGTGGCGAAGCTAAAGGGAAATAGTGGTCGTTTGAGTGCAGAGGTGGTGTGGGGGTGTGGGGATGTGGGGGTGGGGGTGGGGGGAGGTTGGTGTGGGGGTGGGGGGAGGTTGGTGTGGTGGTGGTGTAGGGAGAGAGGAGGATGGTGTAGGGTAGGGGTAGAAGGTGGTGTGGGGAGAGAGAGGGAGTGTGGAAGTGGTGTGGGGGTGTGGGGAGAGAGAGGGTGTGTGGGGGTTGGGTGGGGGTGGAGAGAGAGAGGGAAGGTGTGGGGGAGAGGAGAGAGAGAGAGAGAGAGAGAGAGAGAGAGAGAGAGAGAGAGAGAGAGAGAGAGAGAGAGAGAGAGAGAGAGAGAGAGAGAGAGAGAGAGGGGGGTGTATTGGAGAGAGAGAGAGAGAGAGAGAGAGAGAGAGAGAGAGAGAGAGAGAGAGAGAGAGAGAGAGAGAGAGAGAGAGAGAGAGAGAGAGAGAGAGAGAGGGGTGTATTGGAGAGAGAGAAAGTGATGTGGGAAATGGTGGTGTCAAGAGAGAGAGAGAAAGAGAAAAGGAGTGTGTAGTTGAACTGCAGATACAAATATATCTCGCAAAGGAAACGTAAAAGTCGCGTCACTACCACCACCCATTTAATTAAATAGTAACGTGAGTGTTTGTGAGAAAAGGGAAAGTATAGAAAACGACGTGAGAAAAGGAGCGACAGATAATGTATATGCAAATGTACCGTGTGTGTAAGGTGTACGTGTTTGGTGCGAGAATAGAAAGGCTGGTCTGCGTGAATTTTAGCCGAGGAGAGGCTAACTTAACTTAACTAAACTTAACTAACTTAAAGGCACACCAAGAACATTAGGACTATGGTTATTGACTTCACTTTATTGGGAGGGAAATGGCGACATAAGTGATAAAAAGGTATTTATCAAGATAGTAAAAACGATAAAACAAACGTAAAAAACAAACAAACAATTGAAGCAATAAAAAACAATAAAAACATATACAAAACACCACTAAAATAATAGATAAAAGGCATCGAATCACTATGCCAATCTCCGTAGAAATAACTCACAAATGACTCTCACTTCCTGCGTTATAGTCACTCTTAACAACCACTCAGCTTAGACTAAGGGAGGCCCATTCCGCGGATTGCCGATTCCCGAATTCCCGAATCCCTTCCGCCTTCTGCTTGTCCCCTCCCCCCCTCCCCCCCACGGCAGTTCTCACGCGGCAGAACTTGAAAATTGTGGTTCGTTCTTACATGTTAATGCTGATGAAATTGACGTTAAAACAAGTTAAAAATGATAAGGTTATGATATTTGTGTGATAAAACTGGTAAAATATATAGAGATATAAATGAACTTTTCATAAAAGAGCCATTGTAAAATTGAATACTCAAAACCCTGTAAAATTTAATGAATAAAAGTTAAAATGTCATGTAAGAAAGTTATTATAAAAGCTTTGAGTTAAAATGAATAATATGTGTACAGGATTAAAGGACGGGATTTATAAAATGATAAATACTATTAAATTGTAAAAATAAAAAGCATTCAATTCCATCTCGTGGTTGTTTGTCTGGGAGAGAGAATGGCGCCAGCGGAAACACAAATTTAATATACATTTATAAAAAACAAAACAACAACAATAACAAAAACTGCAGCGGTCCGAGGCAACACTATTTTTGGGCATCCTCCTCACTTGCGGGATAAAACGTGCCCTGGGCCTCGGTGCAATGATGGCGATTTTCACCTTGCAATACGAGGGGACATGTAAGGGAACTCCTGGTAATGTGAAGCTGCCTCGTTAGCGAACGTGCAGGGCAAAGCGCCGTCAATCCGGGGCTCCGACAAATGTTACCAACCTCGACAAGTTCACCAGTTTCTACCTCAAGTTCATCCGTTTCCACCCTAAGTTCATCAGTTCAGAATGAGACGACGTGATATTGCGAAGTCGTTCACTACAGGGTATGTGTGTGT